GCTGCTTGTCAGCCGGGACACTGAGGTTGATGGACAGCAACAGCCATGAACTCATGCTGCTTTGTGCCAGCGCTCAAACCATGACATCACATCCTCTGCATGGGGTCCACAGGCCTCAACTTCCTGCTTGGCATCATGATGCCTGACGTTGTGCAAATAAATTAAGTAATAGCACAGGTAGTTATAGCTCTGTAGTCTGGTGGAGCATACACAGGTGCACACACACTCCCTCACTGTGTGCCAGACTGTGACATACACTAATGTAATAAAGTGTCAAATCAACCTCTCCAAATATTGAACTATGTTTGGCTGAAGGGTAATGTTATTTTTCTGGTTTGACCTCTCACTGTGACTTCCTTTCTTCCTGTTTGAGGGAGGCTTCTCGCTGAAGCCTGGGGGGGTGGGGTCTCACTCCTTAAATGACTTTTCTGATCTTTTGGGGTTTAATGCCATTATTAAACATTTGAATTAAGAAATAAAATGTTGATTTTAAAACCGTATTAAAATATACTTTGAGATAGGTTGAGTAATTCTTTAAAAGTTAACCATTTTAAAAACTTTTATACCTTTTATTATGTATTCAATTAAATCATTCTTAAATAACTTCTCTTAACCTAAATATTTATATTTCTATTTGCATATTTTAGTAATTGAGCATTCAGAAATAATTACTTAGTTAAATTAAAAGTGCCAATAAAACACATGATATTTAAAATCAGGCAAACAAAGTTTAGAGCAAGTATTAAACAAATTACTAACAGAAAGTACTTGAAATAAAAACTGTGTAAATATCAGAATAAAATATATTTTTAATACATTAATGTTATGTTATTTAATTTAATGCTTGCAAAATGTAAGCTTAATTTTGAGTTTTAGCTTGACAAGTTGAAGAGTATTGCTGCTTCATATCGTGTTGGGCAGTTTCATTCATAACAATCCTATTTCATAAACTCTTCATATGTTTTTTTGTAAAGCACTTTGAATTCCCTTGTGTTGAAATGTGCTATATAAATAAACTTGCCTTGTAAAAGTGAAACCAAAAATGGTAACTTAATTTTTTCTGTGAAATTAATGTAGTCAGTCATACAAAATATGTATGATATATAGTGAGTCAAGCTATAAACTTTAACAAAATGTAAATAAAAACACAAATAAAATCCTTGAGTTAATGTTTAGTGTGAATATAGTTATTGGAATATTCATATAATGAGCCCCAATGTCTGCGGCATGCATGTGTTTTCACGGGGCGGGACGACACGCTGGCCCCAGAGCAGCTGGGTTCTGCAGGTTTCACTGTTTTTAAGAACTGCATGAATAATGATCCAGGTGTAGCTGCCAAGTCAGAGGAGACGAGTCAAACTCTGCCTGGTTACAGACTTCAGCCAACGAGGAGAAAAACACGCCGAAACCTCCACCAAATCCCCTGCTCTCTATTCTCTATTTTCTCTCTCTTGCTCCCCTCACTTTTCCCCCCTCTGTTTCCATCTCACATTTTCTCTCTCTGAATCTCTTGCTTTGTCTTCCACTCTGTCTGAAAAAAAAATGCTTTCTTTCTCCCGTTTCTCTCCATTTCTTTTTCTTTCTATTTCATGCCTGTTTATTCTTGGATGACGGGAATACATGAGGCACACATAAGCTGTATTATGAGTGGAAATGTTTAAATAGGATTGGAACCATTACAAACTTTCACATAGGAGTCAAATTATGAGAATCTGTCAATTATGAGAAAAAAAACACTGGCACTGTGGCATGTCACATTCTGGAGGTGCGACTAATTACCCAAAGGTTTTTTTTTTCAGTTTCAATTCAGGGATTTGGAGGATATTTTTCTTTCGGCAAATGTCTGCTAAACGGTGGAATTTATTTTCTCTGCGGTGCTTTTGCTACAGATGGATTAACAACGTTACACTTCGCTTTCATCCAGACATCTGCTAAATTTTCTTTTTCTTTTCAACCTAGCTACACTCTCAGCCAATGAAAACTCACACTAGTTGGCCTGATTTGTCATTGGTTATCCACATCAATGAAACGGTTACTATTGGTTGTAGTAGAAATACTACTATAGCAGACATAAGCACTTTTACAGATTTTGAGAACAAATACTACTTTTGATGTCAGGGCTTTTAAAATGTACTCCAGGCTCAAAAACCATGAATACAGAATGCAAATAAGTGTGTGAGTGTGTGTGTGTATATATATCTTTGTGTGTGTGCAAGAGGAATTGTGTGTACGTGTCTGCTGTTGATTGAGAATTTTTGACAGTGTGAATGAATGTCTTTTGCTATGAATATAAGAGGTAGCAATCCTTTAGTCCACACCCAGGTCTGATTTTTAAGGTGGCGCACGCACGCACGCACGCACGCACGCACGCACCACACGCGCAGCACGCGCACACGCGCACACGCACACACACAGACCTACACACATATAGCAGCCTATTTCAGCATGAATAATTTAGCACTTTGATCCAACACTGGCCACAGGGGCAAATGACAGTTATTGTGTGCTTTTTAATGTCCACTTTTCAGCATCTGCTAGTGTGCGTGCATTTCTTTGTTGATTCATAGTTATTTATTATTTTACTTTCATTAAAAACTGATGTTTATCATGTCAGTTTAGCTGTCCCTAATTATCGTTGCTGCTTTCTTGACCCGTCTTTGCACACACAAACAAGTTTAATGTGTGTTTCATTAGTAAATATGTGCATATATGCCACAAACAAAATCTGTTTCATGTTTATTTCCTGCCAAAGCAGACCTTTTATCCCAAGAGGTGTGGATCTAATTTTGTGTGGGGCCACTATAGACAAAGGTAAAGGTTTGTCTTTTTTATTACATTAATCTCAGTGCAGGATTAAACACTCGCTGTTGTTTGTTTGCAGTCAGTGTTTGAGTCACTGTGCTTTTATTCTCAGTATGTGGGGAAGAGTGAAGAGTGTTTACATATGTGCTTACTTCACCCAGAGGTCCTAGGTACTCATGCATTCCCCCCATGTGTTTTCATGCTACTAGGTATATGTCATACCTATGGAGCGCACAATTGTGCTCAGTGACCAACTGTAAGCTTGTTTTCTCTTTAGCCTTGGCCCTGACATTTACCTCACTGCTTCCCTTGCGACTGGCCTGAATATCATACCTCGATTATCTTGCATCCCTGGTGTGTGAGTGTGTGCGTGTGTGCATGCACCTGTGCCTTTAAAGACTTTCGAGCATGCATCAGAGAAAGTACACCTGTGCTGTGACTTGAAAAGCCTTTGGTAGTTTCAGCGAGCAGGAGCGATTGTTGAACAGTGTGCCTATGTGGATTTCTAGGAGTGTGTCAGGAAGTAGAGATTTTGACTGGAGGATTAATCTAAACCCCCTCTTATAAAGTATTCAGATCGGAAAGAGGGATTATTGAAAGTCGGAGAGATGATGGAAAGTGAATGTTCATATTGGTTCATAACCCCTCACACCAGGCACGCAGGCACATCATATTAAACAGTAACAGCAATGTTGTATCATTTATCTGCCATGTTAGGTTTCATTACATGATTTTCTTTCCACATTACTTGAGGATACATCAAAACCGTCCATGTAATTCAGCAGGCGTGTATACCATGCATGCCTCCATCAAATATTTCTTCTCATTTGGTGCACTGCTTATAGCAACAAATCATTTTCTGATATATTTTTAGATTTTTTGTGTTTCATTTATAAATCTTGGGAGTTTGACTGCTCAATTTGACTGGTCCATTTAAGATTATCTCAAATAATGTATGTTCTGTCATTTCCCCACATAACCATAACAGTCTGCAAATAAACAATTGTCTCCTGTGCGCTCCACTTCCTCCTTGGCGCACCGGTAACTTTCTCAAAAAAACAATAAAAAAGTCGGGATAACGGGTCGTGAGCACGAGATACTAACCCGTTATCCTGACTTTTTTTTTTTCCATGTCCCTTTGGGGCAGTGGTTCTCACAAACTTTTTCTATCAGGCCCCCCCTTTGGAGAAAAAAAAAAGTCGGGCCCCCCCAACACAAATAGTCACTTAATGGACCAAGTTAACATCTATTAAAATACATCAATATGAACGTGAGCATTCCTTTCAAAAAAATAAAAGAAAACACTTTGCTAGAACAGTGATAATAAAACAATGCTCCATAAGTCTGTGTGGTCAAAAATAATAAATTCATAATACAATCGTGCAATCCCTTTGCTAGAACAATGAGTTATAATACTTTGCCACTTTGCAATCTGTGCAAAAAAAATGAAAAGAAAGAAAATGCTGATATTTGGCAAAAAAGTGTGTCTTATCATTAGTGGCTGCAATGAGCCTGTTTGGCACAGCATATTTCTTCAAAATGGGGTTGCAGGCTCAGTGTCGGCACCAGAGATTTCTTTTAGGGGTGCTGTGGGGTAGCTTGACGTTTCATAGAGGGTGCTCAAACATTTAGGGTTTCCCATTTATGTACTGGTCGCTACAGTGGAATTCTCTACTGCAACACTCCCCACGCAAATACACAGTGTACCCGCGACAGTTACAATGAAGTCTCGATAATCAGCTCACGGCATATACAGTAGGTGTAAGCAGGGGTAAAGTGCTATTTTTATAAGTGGGGAGTGGACCTTACATAGGGGGGTCCAGGGGCATGCTCCCCCGGGAAGATGTTTGTTTAAATATTGAAGTATCATATTATTTTCGAATCAATAATCTTTCAACATTTTTTTTTCAAAACCATTTTTTCTCCTGGTCTCTTACGCCCCCCACTTTGAGAAACACTGCTTTAGGGGCTCCGTACGTATATACATATTTTTTCTTTGAAGAAAGAAATAACAGGTTTCTTTTTTTAAATGTGTTTTTTTAAGGTTTAAATGTATACGGTTCTTCTTTAAATATTACAAGTTTTTTTTAACCTAGCACTTAAAAAAGATGTTGACAATATTTTGACCACAAAATGGAAGACATCTAGTTATTGGATGATTAAATAATTCAAATATGTGTGTGTGTTTCGTCTTGTAGCTACGGAACCTGAATGTCCTGGACCTGCGGCACATCTCAGAGCTCAACAATGAGACGGTGATGGAGGTGGTGAGGAAATGTCGCAACCTCAGTTCCCTCAACCTCTGCCTCAACTGGAGCATCAACGACAGGTATGTCAAGTGCATGAGTCTGTCAAGTATATAAGTACCACACTCGGTATCGATCAATGCCTTTTTTGGCCCGCCAAGGAACAGATACAGTCGTTCTGTCTAACGAAAACAAAAAAAGTTAAAAGTCATTGCATTTGGAAAATGTAAGTGTAAATGTAAGAAACCTTGGAAGAGGCAATTCAACTAAAAAACCTCCATGTGACTGCCAGGTCTGTAATAGGAGCCTTAGTTAAAAAATAAACTACAAAATAAATCAAGTTTTATAATAAATCCAATACTAATGCTTTTGCCAAGACTTAAAGTAAATCAAATGTATGAAAGCCACTTGATCATTTGACTAATGGCTCTTTAGGGTCCAAGTTGGCACAGACATCTTTCATTGATTGGTCATTTTTCATGATGTTTTTATGCGTTGCTGTAATTGATGATTGAAAAGTTAAAGGTTCTTCTCCGCTTCACAATAATATTCACAAATATACCTTTGTTTGTAGTAAACACTCATTTTTTGAGATCCTTCTGAAATAATTCCCCTTTTTTTCAGACTATTTGACTCTTGAACACTTGGTGTCAGTGACATTGACAAATGCAGGGGGGAAGGCTGTTATCTGATCGAAACATGGAATGAATCTATAGTGGTCTCTAAATATAACAAAAAAAGATGTGCAAATGTGTTATGAGAAGGAAAATACATTCATCATTGCTAGGCTTCAAGGAGGATTGTTTTGGTGAAAAACAAAGAATATAACCACGACTGTTGTTTGTTCTCAAGGAAAACTCCACAGGGTACTTTTAATCTAAGCAGGACCAATTGAAAAACAGTTTGAATGAGTTTTCAATTAAATCAACTAATCTATTAGTCAATTAAGGATTTTAATAGCTCTACTCACGGACACTCTCACAAACAACATTTGGAGCTCATTATTTATATGCTTCATAATCAAACTCTTATATATAGTAATTTCATTTGCAGGACACATGCTGGTATATTGTGCATACATTCAAAAACACATTATACATAATGTAATAAATGGATACAGGCCTCATGCAGGCATTTAAACTCTTGCACAGGGAAGGATGTCCGTATGAATATTGAACACAAGTTGAAAAGACAACCAAGAACTTTTTTCCTTTCTTTCCCCCTTTTTCTCTGCAACGGTAAAGAACCTGTGCAAGAGTAAAGCATCTCCTCTTTTATTTATTATCTTGTGTTTTATTCATACATTTGTATTTAATCTATTGATTTACAGCTTAGGCTGTGGCTTCTCTGCCGACTGTACTCCCACTCTGGCTTAGGAGTGTGAACACAATATTGAATTTACCATGGCGCATAGCAACAAAGGGTGTGTGTGTGTCTGGGTGTGCATGTGTGACAATTTTCTTGCATTATTGAGTAAACAGCAGTCACATGGTGGGAAGGTTATGGTAATACCTTACCCGCCTTCTTTCAATACAAAAAAATGGAGTTTGGTGAAATCCCCAAAGCACATGGTGTTATCAACCTCTTCCCTTTATCACTCACACACACACACACACACACACACACACACACACACACACACACACACACACACACACACACACACACACACACACACACACACACACACACACACACACACACGCGCGCACATCCTTTTTATTGATGCCATAATGATATTTACTGCATTGGTTCAGGAGCTGAAGGTGTATGTGTGTCTGACTGGATTTGTCTGGATCACCTGTGAGAATATTGGAATTGAAAATGCTGTGTGTGTGTGAGGTAAAGCTAGGGTGTTGTGTGTTTGTTGCAGCATACAGTTGCTGTGTTGTTGGCTTTTGTATTAAGCGGAGGCTGCAGGGGAGTAAAAGGCCGAGGCGGACAGTCTTACATGCTTGCTGTTCTGATGCTACCCCACCCCAAAGGAGTATGTTTTATTTTCTTTAAAGATCCATCAAAAGTAGCGGAGGGCCATTTCCATTGCCCTTCCTCCTGGACCTGCAGACCTGCGTGTTTGCGTGTATTGTGTACTTGCTTCTCAAGGAGCAAATAAAAGCCTCCAGTCCGGTCATAAGCCGCTTTATTGTTACACTTTACAGTCACACAGTTCGGCGCAGTGAAGAGGAGAGGGTGTTTATTTATTGTGTGTGTGTGTGTGTGTGTGTGTGTGTGTGTGTGTGTGTGTGTGTGTGTGTGTGTGTGTGTGTGTGTGTGTGTGTGTGTGTGTGTGTGTGTGTGTGTGTGTGTGTGTGTGTGTGTGTGTGTGTGTGTGTGTGCTTTAGCCGCAGCTTGCCAAACTGTGATAATGTGTTTCCACTACAAACTACAGCCTTAGAGCGATGTGTCAAGTTACCAGAATTATGACTTAATTTGTTTTTGTAATAAATACAACAAAGGCATGGGAGGAGTTAAAAATAAGCTATAAAACAACAGGCATTAATGATTGTACCATACTGTGTTCAAACATTTAATATTCAACCAGGACAAGAGAAACTCTTAATTAAGATTAGCTCTTTAAAAGTTCACATCTCCCCAGTCTCTGCGGATGCAGGTTGTGGCTCTTCACGGCATGGTTAAGTGTAACTAACCTCATTGCGTTTGAGAGAGATTTTGTTTGATGAGGTAAGATTTCAAGACATTGAGTTGACGGTTGAATGTGATGGTTGGATTGTACACACTTGGATTTTCAATTTAGTTTTTCTGTCAATCTCTTTTTTTTACATATATTTTGTACTCAAATTAGGACCATGATTCGATGAGTCTGAGTCACTGAGTGATTCTAAATAAGAATTGATCAAATCTGAATTTTTCTTTTGTAGTATGTCAACACTCAAGTACCTCATCTGATATTGGTTTGAAAAGTAGTAAGTAAAAGATAGTGTATCTCCGCAGAGAGGCTAAATTGTTTTATTTGGCTTAAAGTTCAAAGATTCAAAGGTCATCAGGGTCACTGCTGTTGGGAAAGCTAACACACACCCACTTGTTGTCACAGTGAAGACCAGAATGACTAACATTAACTCAGCGAGGGCACAGCTGGGTCAGCTTTGGTGAGCGTGTTTCAAAGTGATGACAGTGTGCTGCGAGCAGGTAAACAGGCGGAGGAAATGACCCCTTATTTCCAGGATCAATTTGTCCCCCCACAAGGTGCAATTTGAGAGATAGAGCTCCTTGGGAGGTAAAGCACTTCAGTAATTTTTTCGTCCCTTCTTCTTCTTTTTTTCTTCTGCTCTCCTTTTATCTGTAAGATAAAATAAAAATAATAAACCCTGTGTCCTCTGGCTCCCCTTATCTTCCTCAGTAATGGCCAAAAACAGCGTCCCAGTGTAAGAAAAGCTGGTATGTCGACCAACTATGGGCTCCCATCGTCACAGTCTGACAGGCAGATTGTGACAGTAGGACGCCAATTTTGAGTTCACCCTCATTTCTTGTGGAGACAGGATGTGATGTGCTGCAGGTGGCCACTGTTAGCCCTGTTATTTTTCTGTATTCTCTTTCAGCAATGATCGCAGACCAATGTGTGATTGTGTTTTTCAAATATCATAGAATTTGAAAACGGGGAGCGTATCGTGATCAAAGTGGAACAGCAGCGCAAAATGATGGCGCTCACTTTTGAGAACCAAGTTGAAAACACAGTGTCAAAGTGAAATGGTTATCTTTCATTTTCTGTTGCTTGGTGTACTTTTGTATCTATTGCAGGAACATGGTCTTGCTTTTATATTGTGCCCATGGTGTAGTTGTTATTCCGTGTTTGTTCTGTTGTGTCTGTGCGTAGAGATTCTTTTATATCTAGAGTTATTTGCCCAGTGGAGACTGTTGACTTAATAGTATCATTTTTCATTTGTCTAATACGTTTTTATTATATTGGACATTATTTGCCAGAAATAAGGAGATTAAACATGGATTTTATGTGAATTGTATCCTTCTGTTTGTATGTGTGTGAGTGTGCTGCAATAAAGTTTGCGGTAACGCCTCTTCAGTGGTTTTGGTCAAAGTCAGCATCTATTCTGCTAACATTAACCCTGCCTCACACAGCCTGTGTTGACATGCAGATTTATGTGTTCCCCTCCGTCTATTTCTGTATGTACTGTATGTGTTTGTGAGTAAGCTCTGGTCAGTCGGCCAGTAGTCTTCACTGAAAGCAGATGCATGGAATAAGTGAGTCATTTCTTTTGAGTTACGTCTTGTTGGAAGCTTTTCCCAAAAACCCTGGTATTTCCCTCTTTTTCTCTCTCTTTCTTCTTCTCTTAGTCTTTCCAGCAGCTTAATTTAATTCGGGGAATCAATATTCATACCCTTTTTTCTTCGGGCCAACATTCTCTGCATATCCATCACACATGAGCATCACAAATCACAGCCCAAATAGTCTGTCCTACATTTTTGTCCCCTCTCACAAAGTCATCGGACTACGTGAGGGATGACCGGGGGCCCTCTCTGACTTTCAGGAGCTTATAATGTGGGAAATAATTGGAGAAGCATTCTCTCCGAATTCTCTACAACTGTGAGGTGTGTGTATTTGGAGGCGTTTGCATTGGAAGCTTGTTCCAAATAGCCTCTGTCGCAGCCAGCTGGCAGATCCCACAGTGCCTGGAGAAGTGTTAAACCCTGAAAACGTATAAGTACATGATACACATAATAATGATGAACGACATGTCAATTGACGGTTGGTTGCTTGGCCAAAGTGAAGAAGATGATCAGGACCTGTATGTGTCAAGTTTCTGAGAGTCTGAAGAGCGAGTAAGAGGGAGAAGAGTTAAAAGACTGAGGAACATTTACCAAGTGATTTTCTCCTACTCAAAGTAAAGTCAAGGAGTTACACTTCAAGATCAAATCATCAAATGTATGCTCACCAAGGTATGACCAATCAGGCAAAAATATTCTATTAAAGGAGCATTACACCTTTACATTCAGATATTCTATAAAGCCCAAATGATTTAACCATTTTATTTAGTTACATTTGTGTGAAATCTGTTACATTTCCAATAACAATTAACGCATACAAACTAAAAGATAGGCTACTGTAGCA